ATGGAATAATAATATTATAAACCATAGTAGTAGTCTGTATATTCCAAGTCTGAAGTCAGTGTGTGATTTTTTTTTTTTTTTTTTGATGCTAACATTTTGGGGTTTTTGAAATCGAAGCACTTGGAATACAGTAAAAAAAAAAAAAATCATACAGACTATGCCTTAAGGTGCTTTGTGTTGTACTTTTTCCTAATAATTACTATGAACTAAGTATGAAAAAAGCTTTGTGATGGTTCTTCAAAACACTGGTTAGGAATGATATTGGGCTGAGAAAATGACAACATTTTAATTATTGGGCGAACTCGTCCAATAAAGCATTTGACTACAAAAAAAATAATCATTACCAAAATAAAAGCATAAAAACAGAGGTTACGGATTTGTGAAAATAATTTGTTGGTTACTGTAGGCCCATGGTCTTCTAGTGATTCTTTTTGGCTCATGCTTTCTTTACTGCTTAATCTCAAATTGTTACCTTTACGATTTTCTGTATGCAATCCAACAGCATAGGATACTTATAGGCTCCAAATTTGCATTCCCACATATATTAAAAAAAGATTCTCTTGTTTTCCTTGGCCTCACTGTAAACCATCTGGTATCAGTTCCTAAGAACACTTTCAGGCCTGAACTATGAACAGCTCTGTTTAGAAATACTAAAACGCACAATGTGTTGAACACATGAAATCACGTTCTTGCATGAATCTCAGACAGAGATGTCATAAAGACCATTAAAAGGACAGTTAACCCTCAAAAAAAAAAAAAAAAAAAAAAAAGAGAGAATTCTGCACAATGAACACAGACAAGCTCATTCACAATCTGACTCCCCTGAAGCACTCTTACCACACACAGAAGGCCACTAAGCCACAGACAGCAGAGCAGTGTGAAACTCAGTCTGTTTGGAAGGGAGAGGTGACACCGGGGCTCTTGAACCATGTGCGGCTGCCAGAATGAGGCGTTTCACACTCATTCTGGGTCATTAACTAAAACAACCTCAACACTAAAGTTCATGCTCACATTCCAGCGGTCAGAGAAGATCCAATGCAGAGCATTTCCAAACATCCTATCTAATAAAATTTTAGCCTTCTGATGACATACACCGTTTATCTCCACAATCACATATTTGTTTTGATGCAGATGATTTTTTTAAGGTAACTATCACTTCTACCAAACATCATAATAGCAGACAGCTACAATCAACAATGTCCATAGTATACAATGTCATGTTTATTAGAAAGCTAGATTAGGAAACAAGCTAGAACAGAGAGGAAATGAAGAGAAATAATAATTTTTCATTTGCTTTTATATAAACCACTTTAACAAAATATAATACAAATCTAAAAAAAAAAAAAAGTTTTTCATTACTAAAACTTTTAGATAAAAAAAAAGCTACACTGACACTTCTGTGAACATGTTTGAGTGACGACAAATGAATCAAGGGATTCGAATTTGAGTGACGACAAATGAATCGTATTATAAAGTGCAATAAGTTAACATTCTTATACTTGCAATGCAGAAAACAAGGAAGGATGACAGAAATAGTTTAAGTGAATTACTATATTAATGTTGAATTCACAATGTTGCTTAAATTTTGTAACCAACAAAATCCTCACAAATTTAAAATTCACAATACAGAAAAATCATAACCCAAGCCAAATATGAAGTGAATTAACAAAAACTCCATCAAGTTGGATTTCACAAACTAATATCTTGCCATTCTAAGTTCAGGATATAGAGGCAACCAGCAAATGTTTGTCACCTCCAGTGAGCGTCTTTAAACACACCACCATTTGCGGTGATTTGTGATTATGGTGGTCTCAGCCACTTTATTGTCTCTATGGCTTTGACCACCTCTGAAGCTCAGCTGCCAGTTGCAACAAACCCCTAATGTTAAGAAAATTCAATTATAACACCTCTACAATTGATTGGTTAACTTTATTTTTAGAGATTTATTGCAACTGGACACAGGCCTGTTAAAAGCAGGTGGGCATAAAAGCTCTCAATGCCTCAGGCACATCTGCACACTCTAGACTCTTCCCGTCTTTAATAGAAACCAAAAACACACTGTAGTATTACATGAGTCAAAAACAGCAATAATAAAGTAGTCTTAATGCAGGGGAGTCACTGCATGGCTCCGTCGAGGTGATGTATAATTTATGGATAGCTTGAAAATCTTAAGTCAGAAACGTGGATGGGTGCTTAGCAGAATAAGCAGACTTTACAGCTATTTATAATTACTGCTCTACTTAAAGCACTCATGTTAATGCCATACAAATGCCAACCAGACTGACATAATATCAGTTTTTATGAATTTGTAAGCTTGGACCACCAGAAACTGAATTAAACCACCTAACAGATTTGTAGTTTGTTTAAGCGGACATGACATTGGCCCAACCAATGGAATTTTGAATGGACTCGTTGTTGTTCAAGCTTGGTGACACTAGTAGAAGAGAAAGTACACACTTCACTTTGAATATCAGATCTTTGGTGCCTGAGTTAACAGAATGACCCTTCAAGCTGCCAAATCTGAACTTGCCCTTGGAAAAGACCATCCCTTTTCACCCCTTTGAACTCTATGACAACCAGCGATTACTTTGAGCTTTTAGTGTAATTGGCTTGTTTCTGCAGGTTTGGATGAAGAATTTACTTAACCCAGTGGATGTGAGGAACAATCACATCGCATGCGGTCTCATTGTATAGCAAGCACACTCAAAACTGCCAATATAAACCCCAAAGTTCACGGGTATGTGTTAAAATCGATAAGGGTTGCATGACCTCGCCATGGATAGGAAAAGATGATTAGGGAAGGACAACTTCCAAACCCTGTCAAAGTCTCATTTTACAAAAGATCTACCACACAAAAGCCTAAGCAGATGGCCTGACTTGGAGATTAAGATCAAATTATGGAGTCTTTTACAAAGACCTCACTTAAAGAAGAACCTCACAGTCTTTAAGGAGGACCTAATTAAAAGAGACCTTAAATCCGAGCCTCTCATCAAAGATGAGAATAAGTTTTAGGCCTAAACATACACTACGCAAGAGTGTCTAGTCCTGCTTCTGGAGGGCTAATGGCCTATTAAGTTTAGTTCCAACTTGCCAACATACTTGCCTGTAAGTTTCTAGATCTGTATATCAAAGTGCCTTTTTACCCTCATTTACTATTTCCTACATTACTCTACTAATATAGTGCAATGAATGAGTGAATGAAAACCAGTGAGCGATTTCATACCTCGAGTCCACCAGAAGTGCTGTGAAACACCATCTTCTAGCTAGATGATTTGAGATTCTAGTGGCTAGCCGTTGAGTGTACATCGGTTATACTATTAACGTGCATTATGGGATTTAATGAGTGCATTTAATAATGTCCACTATGGTATCAGACAACGGCAAATGGCCGTCACCTCAAATAGTGCATTATGTAAATGTATAGGGGGCATACACAGCCTAGTATTCCGGAAGACTTTGATTAGTTGCATCTGGTGTATTTAATTAGGATTAGAGCAAAACTGTGCAGGAAGTTGCCCTCCAAGAGCAGGATTGGACACCCCTGGACTATGCAATTATGTGTACGTGCTTCAACTCATTTTTAAACATTGTGATGTTCTGAAATATGCTTGTATGAAGTTCATTATGCAACCAAGTACGCATGGCATTCTCAGCATTGTTGCAAAGGGTAATCTTCGGTTTTCCAGGTCATCCAAATGCAAAATTGAGCACTCATGAGCAAATATGGCTGATTTCAAATTGCATTGGAAGTCCTGCGCCAGCTGAGAGACCGTAATTGAGATCGATGAGAATGCTAACGCATAGCTTACTTCAAGTATTACTTGTATACCTTTAAGCCACAAGCCGGGTTTTATGAGTATAGGCTCTTCCAATATTTCTGAAAATGATAAAACAAGCACAGACTTGGCTAAAACGTACCCAAAAGCTTGACAGCAGTTTGAGCACAGATGCTCTGGGCCATTTCGCTACTTCCCCTGCCTGACTGCTGTGTTTACTGTGGTGATGAGGTGATGATTATAAATACTATTCAGCAGTTTGTGCTGTTAACAGGACCGGTTACGACCCATTGTCCCAGGACGCCGAAATGTACGAGCCCGGGAGGCCAGTAAACCCAGAGCCATCTAAGAGATCTGCTTCTCAGGCATGACAGGAAAAGCAGCTGCCCTGGAATGAGCTCAGAGCCTGGCTTCAGATCAGAGGAGCATCGACCCTGACATCACTGTAACAGTGCTTAGACTAAAACATATGAACATGGAAGGGTCCAAGACTGAAGGAGTGCTTGCATACCAGAGCAAATATTCACTTAAAGCAAATCAAATGAACAGGATAGGCCCAGAAGCAAAGAAGAGATCAATTTAGAAACATGAGGAGAACAAACTATGAACCTGTAGGTGAAAGAATCAAAAAGATACCAAAAAAAACAAAACTGCTGTATACAGCTGTTTATTTGAACTTCTCCTTTTCCAGGAGAAAGTACAGAATGAGTTAAAAGTGTATTGCTACAATCATCCCATTCTCAATGGCTCTTTCATTAGAGCTGGGTTTTGAGAGTTAGATCAGGCCATGGTGTTTTTCAGAGGGTAAGTGTGCGTCTGCCAATCAAACAAAGCAGACTGCTTTGTTTTGATTTGGCAGTCTGGTCAGGCGGCTGGCAGCCCTCTAGAGAGACAGATGGTCATTAGCTGGAGCAGGACAGGACAGTGAGCTACCCCTCCCCCGAGAGGGTTGGACATCACGTCTCAGAGGTCGAGTAGATAGAGCATACTGTGTTTATGCACACCTTCTCTGCAAAATCACTTCTGCAAACATGACACCACTAGGGGACCTTCACCTTAGTATTGATAAAAAAAATAAAAAAAAGCTGTATGCCTTTTCCAACCCTGTGCATGCATGTCTGCAACTTTTTTCACAACTTTGTGCACAGCCGACCAGGAAGTCTAGGAATAAACTAGATAGTGACTTTTTTGTATAGTGCTTTCAGATAAGCTTTTTAAACTCACATGTGTGGACTGAGCTCGTAGAAGTTCCTGTTGCGATACTCCTCCACCTTTTCTGCTGTGTAGATGGGCAGGGACTTGTAGGGGTTCATTGAGATCACCACACTGCCAATGTATGTCTGTGGAGGAGAGCGAAAGAAGCAATGAACCACCGATCAACACACAAGAAAACACATGAAATGAGATAGGCCTATATAACCAGTCATAACATAACCAGTCATATATTCGGTCTACAGCAGTGGTTCCCAATCCTGGTCCTGGAGAAACCCAACACTGCACCTTTTAGATGTCTACCTAATCAAACACACCTGATTCAACTCATCAGCTCATTAGTAAAGACTCCAAGACTTCAAATCTGTGTGTCAGATAAGAGAGACATCAAAAATGTGCAGTGTTGGTGGTTCTCCAGGACCAGGGTTGGGAACAACTGGTCTACAGTAGTGGTAATACTGAGCATACAAGCAAATTCTGGTACCCAAGTGTTGTCACCGCAGACTGTATATGCATCACCAAGCCAGTCACTATGAAAATAATGGTGGGTTCCTATCATGAAAATGATGGTAATTGTGAAATTTCACTTGTACTGGTATCGTGACATCCCTAAAGGACACTGCGCTGTATTCATACTTGTCAAATCTAGTTCATGATCCCCTTGATGGTAATTGTGAAATTTCACTTGTACTGGTATCGTGACATCCCTAAAGGACACTGCGCTGTACTGTGTTGTTGAGCTGTGAGGCACAGACATCAAGCACATTCTCTGCCTCATTCTGTTGTAGGAACATGGCGGCAGCAGTATAGGGGAGTAGAGCTACAATATGCCTCCGTCTGCACAATCCAGATGGGAATTCCTGGGTATTGTTCAGACAGGCGGGGGGCCCGCAAGGAACCGAACAAGAGAGCACAAACAAAAATGTTCGGAATCCCAGGAAGCATCAACAACACAGGGTGGTCAAAAGTGGCCAGCGAGGGCAACGGTGTCTAAAGTAGTCAGTTTCAGACGACTTAAACACACAGAATAATTTATTCCAGCTTCTCTTGCTTTTCAAATCTTTCTGCCACCAATTTTCAACCTATGACATTAAAAGCTAATCTATCTCAATCTCTCAGGGACTTCAGAACAATGGCTAATTCTTGCAGTCGCCTTCTACCTAGTGCGTGTTGCATAAGGCTTGTAGCCGGAGAATCTGGCCTCTCCCATGGCAACACAGCCCACAACCTATTGTCAAGTGTTCACATGAGGCATAACGAATCCCTTAGAAGTAGAAAACAAATGTAACTGGACAGATGAAATGAAAATTAGAGAAAAAATATCAATAAAAGCACAGGCATCACACAGGACATTTGCTAGAAGTCAACAACTGAATTGATCTTAAAAGCTTTTTGAACCAATGGCTTAATTCTTCTTTCACAGAAACAGAAGAGACCTGGTATTTGTTCATTCAATGAAGAATATGGCAGAATCCTCCCATTCCCAGATGGACTAAAATACTGTTCACAATGGTGACATCTGGGCACTAGAGAAGTGATGACTATGGGTGCATTAGAACAGGACTAGGCCTGTGTAAATAATTCAATTGGCCCTTAAATGCATCTAAATGAGAGCTGGTGGACCTACATTTTGGAAGAACGGGCAACCGTGGATCAATAAAGAGCATCACTAAAAGAGTAAGCTACACAATCACATCTGTTCCTTACTACTAAATGTGCAAATACACACACATAAACACATTTGTTCTTCGTGCAGCCAATAATAATGAGCAAAGTTTAAAGATAGCAATAAATACAAGGACCTTTGTTTCATAATTCTACAGCTCTTCTGAAAATGGAACCCATTGTAACTGCTTTTGACAGAGCATTGATGAGAGAAGCAGATCATTCTCTGTGATATTCATTGTAAAGTTTGATATGATGGACTGTGATGTAAGCGTCTTGGCATTTAAACAGATGATACTGAGGGTGGAGGCGTTCCTAGAATATTCTCCATGAACCACTTTTAAAATAGAAGCTTAAAGGAATAGTTCAGCAGTATTTCCCCACTTTCATGTCATTCCAAATGTATTTTGTTAAGTTGAACACAAAAGGAGAGGTTCTGATGAATCTTCACCCAGTTCTTTTCAATACAACAAGTAACTAATTGGGAAACAGTAGGGTTATATTGACAACTTGATGCTTATTCATGCTGTTTTGTCCTTTTAGGAGCTCAGTGAACTGTCATAATAAAGACAAGTCTGCTTTTGGCAGAAAAAAATGTGAGTGAGTAAATAACGACAGACTTATAATTTATGGTTGGTACACTTATTTTTCTTACAAGAAAAATAAGTGACCAGTTTGCACAAAGTGCAATGAACATATAAATATACTGTGGTCTACATAATGTTGCTCTTGTCAACATCGTTCTGTACAATTTGGGGATTCACATTAAATTCAAGGCTAGAGTTTGAATTACAAACTTGCAGCTACTGGACATTGAGGGCTGTGGGTAGTTAAACTCTTAATTACACACTAAACACACTTACAATCTGTTTGTGTATAACTATATGATTTTAGACGTTTATTACTGGTCAGATTATAGCTCTGCAAAATATAAATAAACATTTTTAAAGGCAGAGTAAGTGATTTCTGGTAGCCAATGTTGATATTTGAAATCACCAAAACAAACACGCCCCTACCCCAAAAGGGTCTTGCCCCTATTTTGATAGCTCCGCCCCACATATACGTACGCAACCCAGGCAACGATTAGTTTTGTGAAACAAAGCAAAACCAATGTTACACCGTGTCTACGGACGTGAGCGGCGTGGCGCAACAAATCCCCGTCAGAAAACTGCTGCCGGGTTCTATTTATGATGTGCTGACACACATTTCAAATGGTTTTCAACGGTCGTTTGATCGCGTCCGGTGTAGGCAGACTTTAGCTGTTGTAGACACTGTGTTACTCACCTATTGAGAAGAAACAAAGCAACCTCGGCGTCCGATCGCAGGCCTCCGCTCCTTGAGTTCTCTCCAGCACTGGAAAGCTGATCCAATATTTTACACGGGTCCTACTTCTTGCCTTATCTTTCCGCAGACGTTTTCCTCTTTTGTTTTTTTATCCGCCATCTCTATCTTTCTGTCGCTCGGCTCGGCTAATGTCCGTCCCATCATGCACTGAAAGCTCTCTCCTCCACACCACGAGTAGACACGCCCCTTATTGCTGATTGGCTACAAGTTTGTTTTGCTATTCGGCCCGAATCAGTTTTCTAAAGTGTTTTTGAAAAATCACATACCCTGCCTTTAAGGGTCCATTTTAATGGTGCCGCACACAAAATGTAAATCGGCCATTAGAATGGGTCATTAAACCTTGATATTTCCTGATACTGAATGCAAATTGTAAATCTGAACATGCTAGAGCTTTCTTTCAATTTCAGCAGGAAAAAAAAAACTTTATTTAATGAAAATGAAGCCTATTTTTTAAGTACTAAATGTGCTGTCACAGCAAAATTTCACTAGCAAAAAAGTCAGTTATATTGTCAAGAGTGTAGCAATGTATGAAGCACAGATCACACACAAGTCACTTTCAAACAAAGCAGCTTTCTGTTGGTCATCACAGCAAATTTGTTTGACTAACTTGTGAAATCTGTGTGGTGAAAGCGTTCGCCCTCACTCGACATTCTAGATTAGGTGACTGCATCTTAAGTGTGAAGTAATTTCTGCAGCAGTAGTGTCATTAAATTGTGTTGCAAACATAACTGACTGTTTTCACACAGGTTTCCTGAACACTCACCGTGTCTGCTATTGGTTGAACAACAGATAGCCAATTTAATTGAGGCGATTTTGCTGTGTCAGACAAACAAAACAATGGTTTAATAGTGCAACTGTGCTTGTTCATGCTCCAAGAAAGGTAGAAAATCTTAAATTCTCCTTGATATCCATTAACTTTTGCATATTCTGATTCATTAAACAGCTATTTACACATCAAATGGACCCATTTCATAGGCTGGTTTGATATGCGACAGCTTTCAAAACCGAGCCCAAATGAATAGGAAAGACATGACAACAGGGACAGAACAATGAGAGTGCTATGATTTACACTGTGCTCCTCTCTACACTCCCATTTATCATTTAGTGGGAACCCACTCAGACTAAACTTAGATACTCTTGATGTGATGTGACTGTCTGGAGTAGTGAAAGCCTAAAATAAGACGACGACCAAGAAAAGGAAACAGCAACTGTTGCATGATATTCTCAGCATAAGTATAAGCATTACTTACATAGATCTCATTGTGATCGAATCGCTTCTTTAGATTCTCAATGAAGGTGTCTTCTGATAGGGGCTCAATGAGGACCATATCGCCCACCCCTATCATATTGTCGAGAAGTGATGTCTTCACCTCCATTTTGGACAACACCCCCTACAGAGAAAGCAAGACAATCACATATCACAATCACAAAGTTCTGTAGGCATTGACTTAGATATGTATCTAGGTCAATGGGCTAATGTGTGTGTGTGTGTGTGTGTTTATTAATTCATACAAAATACATTAAAAATGTAATTCATACTGGCAATGGCTTGAATACAACTCTTCGATGATAAACATGTTTTCAATTTTTGAATTAAAATTAATTTCGATATTTCTGTGCGGAGCAGGATTATTATTGTTAACTAAAACCATGCATTAATAAATAAATAAAAATTATATGAAATAAAGTAATAACAAATAAACATTTTAATTCAGAAACATTTCTCATTTGTTATTTTAAGTTGAGGTACTAAAATAAACTTAAAAACGATACACGTATGTAAAAAAAAAAAATGACAAAACCACAAAATTATTACAATTACACACAAAAACAAACGAGTAACTAAAAAAAAAATTTAAAAAAAAGTAACCAAAACTTTAATTTGTTTAAAGAATGAAAACAGAAAATATATATATAATATATATAATAAAAAAATAACAATAAGGACTTTAGGCATAATCTTTTATTATTGGCAATTTGTTTCTGAAAACAACAAGTAAAGAAGATTTGATGGTGTTATGTGAAAAACTTCTGTCTGGCATAACTTGCAAGCTTAATTATTCATGTCATAAGCTTATTCTTGGTTACACCACATTAAAAAAAATGCAAAAACAACATTAATTAAAGCATGATGTTTCTAAGACTTTAGCACATTATTTTTCAATTGAGTTTTTAAAGCCTTTCTCAACTTTTTTAGACTCAAGTCCCTTCTTGGTCATAGACCCATCTATCCCACAATTCTGTGCACTGTCCTTCTACAGTGCATTAATGCTGATGTCTGTTCATATGAAACCTCATCATCAGTTTCTTGCACGTCTAAACTAAAATAATGCATATAAATTCTGAAGTATTTGCAAAGCAGCACTTGACTGGACCGGCATGTTCAGGACACAAGATACTCCACTGGGAATTATGTAACGAAAGACCCTTGTACCAGCTGATGACCCATAGATACTCCCAAGATGTTTATGACGTGGAGTCATCAAAATTTAGCTACTTTCTCACTAAACAAAGTGGATGGCATAAATAAACTCTATGTAAATGTTTACTTTAAGCAAACCCATCACTGAATCGTGATTTCACAGTTAACAGCTAAACAGTAAAACTGCTAGGGGCGGCAATTTTTCCCTTCTCTGGTCACTAATCCAGGTGCCAGTTGCATTCAGGGCCTTCATATGAGGCTTTACTGAGCCCCTAAACCCCCTATGCAACGTTCAAACAAATGGGCAATGGCAAAGTGTAGTGCTCAGCATAAAGCTGCTCCAATAACAGCCCACATTTTCACTCCCAGCTCACCCGGCGTAAAGAAACAAAGCACCCAGCATCGCCATTTGTAGACAAAACACAAACATGGGCAAAGAAACAAGTCCTAAATAAGGGGTAGATAGTATAGCACATTGTGGTTTGTTGATAGCATAAACACGTGTCATTTGTGTGCATGACAAAAAAAAAAGTTTAATGTAAATGAAGATTAAGAGGTGCAAGGCAGTTATTTAAGTTTTGACTTAATAATCATATGGTGCGCAGCGTCCTG